CAGCTGACCTGGAACTCACTATGTAGACCAGGCTGGCTTTGAACTCACAGAAATCCACCTGCCTCTGCCTCCTGAGTGCTGGGACTAAAGGCATGTGCCACCACATCCAGCCTAAATTTACTTATTTTTAACTTTGTGTGTTTTGTGTTTTGTCTGCATGTATGTAAGTGTACTGTGTGTGCAGTGTTCTTGGAGGCCAGAAGAGGGTGTCAGGTTCCCTAGAACTAGGGTTAAGGAAGGGCGTTGTTAACTGCCTTGTGGGTGCTTACTCTGAACTCTGAGTCCTCTGGAAGAGCAGTCAGTGCTCTTAATTGCTGAGCCATCTCTCCAGCCCCTGTGAACTGTTTTAAGATAGTAAACTAAGAAATTATTGCCAATAGCCTAATGTATTTTTGAGCATTTTCATTTTCACACCAGTGAACAAGGTTGATATAAAAGTGATAATGTGTCCAGATATGGAGATAGAAACAGAACCTTGGCTTCACTGTATCTTCTGGGACACAAGGTTAAGGGTTTATGCTGAAAGGGAAGGTGGAAACATCTATTTAAGAAGGCATTTGTGCTGGGCGTGGTGGCGCACACCAAGTCCCAGCACTTGGGAGTCAGAGGCAGGCGGATCTCTGTGAGTTTAAGGCCTGCCTGGTCTACATAGTTCCAGGACAGCTAGGGCTGCAGGGAGACCCTGTCTCAAAAAGACACCCCCCCCCCCAAAAAAAAGGCATTTGTGTTGCTGGAGCGGTGACTCAGTGGTTGAGAGCTCTGGCTGCTCTTGCAGAGGACCTGGGTTTGGTTCCCACATGGTGGCCAGCAGCCCTGTAACTCCAGTTCCAGGGGATCTGATGCCCACTTCTGGCCTCCATGGATGCTGCATGCATGGGTGCACTTCTATACATGCAAGTAGAACATGCATACATGTAAAAGAAAAAAGAAAAAAACAGAAAAAGGCAAAAAAAACAAACAAACACAAAAACAAGAAAGTATTTACTTTCCACTAAAAATTAGTCTTCTGCTGGGCTTGGTGCTGCCTTTTTTTTAATCCCAGCACTTGGGAGTCAGAGGCTGGCAGTTCTCAGCGAGTTTGAGGTGAGCCTGCTCTACATAGTTCCAGGCCAGTCAGGGCTACATTGTGAGCCCGTCTCAAAAAAAAAAAACCCAAGTGTAGTAAGACTGTACTCCATCTGACTTCTGTTTAATCTTGGATCTAATCTTGGGAAGAAGCGTAGGTTTATAATAGTACTGGAAGCAAAACGGCCCATTTCCTCCTTTCTTTTCCTTCCTGTGCCCTTCCCTCTTTCCTTCCTCTTTCTTTCCTTCTTCCTTTTTTCTTTCCCCTTGAATGATACAGGAAAGCTGTGGCCTGAGTGCCAGTGAGGGCTAATGATACGCAGCATGCTCTGTGTTGCCATTTAAATTTATTACAGGTGGTATGTAGCTCTAAGTTTATATTTGTAGGTGTTTGTAGGACTGAGGACAGGATTGGTGAATTTGCTAGATAATAATATTCAGTACTGTTTATTGAGGCTTACAGAGCACTAGGCTAGAATTACAGGATGAGAATTGTTTGATGCAGAAATCTAAAAGGTCATGTTGACTTTATCTAAGAACATGAGCTTGTCCTGAATCAAGGGTTGAAGTAGACCCTTTATGCTGGATTTCCCCCAAGTACTAACCAGACTGGACTCTGCTTATCTTTGGAGATTCGGATGAGATAGAATGAGACCTGGTACATTCAGGGTGGTATGGCTGTAGACTTTATGTTGGATTCCTAATATTTGCAAATGTCCTGGCAGAGTAAGGGTCAGAACTGAGGATACTGAAGCCTTGGAGGCTCCAAGTCACTGGGCAGCTCCTCTGCCTCCAGAGCACTGACTGGTCTGGCTCCAAAGCTGGAGTCCTTGCCACAGCTTTCTGCAGCTGTAGTACATTTTTCCCCCTAGGGTAGATTTTGTACATTAGAACTTAAGATCAATTTGAACAAAAACTATGTTTAATACTTGGTCTTGTTTAAATGGGCCCTTTTGGGTCATTGAGATGGCTCAGTGGGTAAAAGTGCTTGCCATGCAAGCCTGCTGACCTGAGCTTTGTCCCTGGAACCTGTGAAAGGAGGAGAGAACTGTCTGCTGCAAGTTATCCTCAGACCTCTGTATAAGTACTATTGGCACATGCATACCAGCACACATACACATCTCCCTCTCCCTCCTTTCTCTCCCTTCCACACATACACAAATAATAAAATCTTTAAAAAATTTAGTGGCACCTTTTAAGTCAGACCTGGTAACACATGCCTGTAATCCAGGGACAAGCGGATCTTGCAAGATTGAGGACAACCTGGTCTACATAGTTCCAGGCCAGCCTGGGTTATGGAACAAGAGCCTGTTTCCAAAAAAACATAACAAGAAGTAAATGAAGGGTCTCTTTGGTTTGCTGCCAAACTTATTTAAAAGTTTAAAAAATTTAAAGATTATTTATTTATTATGTGGATGAGTGTTTTGTCTGCATGCATCTAAGTGCACCTGTGTCATGCAGTGGCTGCGGAGGCCAGAAGACTGCATTGGATGGATCCCCTGGAACTGGAGCTATGGACAGTTGTTAGCCGTCATGTGGGTGCTGGGAACTGAACCTGGGTCCTCTGCAAGAGCAGCCAGTACTCTTAACCACTGAGCAATCTCTCCATCCTACAATTTATTTAAGAATGTTAAGTGCTTTTGCTGCTCTCAAGGAGAACTGGTTCAGTTTCCAGCAACCACTTTGAGTAGCTCA